GCCACATGTCTATACTATTATAATTATACTACATATATAATTCCCTAATTTCCACAACAAGCTGGTGGGGTAGGGATTATTACTACTGACAATTGGCAGATGGGAAAGTGGGGGCACAGGGAGGTAAGCTTTCTAAGGCAACACAACTAGCAATTGGTGGATCCAGGATTCAAACCTCTGCGATTTGGCTCCATTATTCTCTACTGTCTTGCATCTTATTATGCAGTTACTTTCTTAAAAACATACTTTGCATCTTTAGTAGGTTAAACATAGAATTACCATGTGACTCAGCAATTCCATTCCCATGTATATATCCCAAACAATTGAAACCATGTACTCAAAAACAAGGACGTGAATTAAATGTTCATAGCAGAGTTATTCCCATTAGCCAAAAAGTAGAAGTAACCCAAATGATCATCAACAGATGAATGGATAAACAAAATGTGTTATGTCCACATAATGAAATATTACTCAGATATAAAAAAGAATGAAGTACCAATACATGCTACAATATGGATGTATATAAAGAAGCCAGATACAAAAAGCCACATGTTGCATGATTCAATTTATATGAAATATCCAAAATAGGCAAATAGGAACAAAAAGCAGACTGGTTGTTGCCAGGGGCTGGGGGAGAGAGAATGACAGCTTAGTGAGCATGGGGTTTCCTTTTGGGGTGATGAAAATGTTCTGGAGGTCCCTTACAGGGACCCTGAGTTCCTAACTTCCTTCTACATCCACAAGACTCTGCTCTCACCTAAGAATACCTTTTCCTCTGAGCCTCTGCTTTGCACTTTGAAATGTCCTTTAAGGAAATTCCATCTCACTCACAAGGTTCAGTCTCCCCGCACCGCATCCATGCCTCTTCCCATTCCAATCTCAATCCAATCCATTTCTCCCATTCTGGACCTGCGGCTCCCTCTGGACAGGTTGTGGTGGCCCCTTACACAGTATTGTAAAGAGAGTTATTCTTCCATTTATAGCTCATAATTCCACTACTATTAATATATAGTGTATATCATTCCAATTTTTTTCTTTGTATTCTTAAACACAAAAACACATATAAAGATATCTATGGGAACAAGCAGTGTGGTTGATGTTTAATAACTTGCTTTTTTTTTTTTTATTAAGACAGAGTCTTGCTTTGTTGCCCGGGCTAGAGTGAGTGCCATGGCATCAGCCTAGCTCACAGCAACCTCAAACTCCTGGGCTCAAGCAATCCTCCTGCCCCAGCCTCCCGAGTAGCTGGGACTACAGGCATGCGCCACCATGCTGGGCTACATTTTTATATATATATTAGTTGGCCAATTAATTTCTTTCTATTTATAGTAGAGACGGGGTCTCGCTCTTGCTCAGGCTGGTTTCGAACTCCTGACCTCGAGCATCCGCCTGCCTCGGCCTCCCAGAGTGCTAGGATTATAGGCGTGAGCCACCGCACCCGGCCTAATAACTTGCTTTTAAGTTTAATTGTATCTCATGGACATTTACTAACATCAAACTTAGACTTTCATAATTCTTAAAGGTTGCATAGAACTCTATTGTGTGGCTGAATCATTATGTATGTTTAATTCCCTCTTGATGGATGAAGGTGTTCTTGCCCATTGCTGTCTATTGAACACAATCCTTGAATACACATTCTTCATGCGCTTGGACTGTTTAGACTTTAGGATCATTTGAAAGTGAAATAGCTGTGTCAAAAGTGTGTGCATTGAATATTTTGATTTTTTTTGCCTAATTGACCTCCAGGAGTTTTAAAATTTACACTTCTACAGTCTTGACAACATTAAAATCTTTGAGAGATGAAGAAATACCTTGTCTTTCAACTTGAATTTTTAAATTATGTATTACTTTAAATGAAGTTGGTATTTGTTTTCAGGCCCTCATTGTCATTTATTATTGCACTATATCACATTGATGTAATGATGTAATTTAATGAAGATTTTACCATAAGATGGGGCAAGGGCTACTAAACAACCTACTTCTGTTTTATTTTGTCATGTCCATACTTGCAGATCTGTCACATTCTGGATTTGCCTAAGATCCTAGAGTGTAGAAATAACTTATTGAATCAATCCACCTTTAGTGAACATTTAGATAACTTCCTTTCTGTTTTTACTTTTAAACTATGAAAAAAAGGATAAATAGAAATGTGAAAACATGCATATGTTATCTACATTTGATACATATGTATGACATATATGATATACGAAGCATTTCAAATTGGGATGAGAATAAAGAGAATGAATTGGTTAGTAAATGGAGTTGAAAATTTGACAGATATTTGTCGCAAAGTGACATACAACTTATCTAAAAGTGAATTCCAGATGAAATAGAAAGGTAAATGACATTAGATATAAAAAGTTTAAATTTTTTTAAAAATTTCAGAATATTACAGGGGTATGTATGTTTTGGTTGCATAAATTGTTTTTGTACAGTTTGAGTCAAAGTTATAAATATGTCCATCACCCAGATAGTTTGCATTGTACCCTTAAGTTATGAATTTACCCATCCCTTCCTCCCCCTCCCACTTGCTTGATTTCCGTTTAGTTTTACTGCCATATGTGCACGTGAGTGTTGATTGTTTAGTTTCAATTTAATAGTGGGTACATGTGGTATTTGTTTTTCCATTCTTGCCATACTTCACTTAGAAGAATGGTCTTCAGTTCCATCCAGGTTATTACAAAAGGTATTAGTTCACCATTTTTTGTAGCTGAGTAGTACTCCATGGTATATATATACCATATATAAAATATAGAATATGGTAATAAATATTATTATATATATTAATAAAATATGGTATTGATCCAGTCATGTATTGATGGGCATTTCGTTTGATTTAAAACTTTTGTTTTTAAAGAACTATAAAAAAGTAAAAGACAAATGATAAACTAAGTAAATATTTTCAATCTCTATTAAAAAGAGATACATAATATGTTACAATGGTTATTAATGAAAAAAGCACAAGAACATAATGGGAAAATGGGCTAAGAATATCAAGAGATGTTTCATGAAGGAGATAATACAGTCAGTAAATACCTTCTGATTAAAGAGATGATACAGATTAAAACAACAATGGGATTCTATTCTTGTCTATAAAGCTAAAAAATAATATTACTTTGTATTTGTGAGGGTGTTGTGTTGTTGGGAAGCAGACTGTTGACTCATTTCTGATGGGAATAGAAATTGATCATTCTGGAAAGCAATTTAGTAACTCATTTTCTGTTTACGTGGGTATATTTTTTTAGCACAAGAAACTGTGTGTTTGATTAGCCACCCATTCCACTGAAAACATTGTCACCACTGCTATCCCCCTGATCCTGTTACTACCACTACTGTCCTCTTCCATGTGCTAAGCATTGTATGTACCAGGCATTTCATTTACATGATCCCAAGTTATTCTTAATACAACCCTACAAGAGAAGATATATTTATTCCTACTTTCACTTGCAGAAGATCAGAGGGATTAAGTAATTTGCCCAGGGGAATACAGCAAGCAAAATTTCAGCCCAGGAATTCTAGTATCCTAGTGATGATGACAGAGTATTCAAAATGATTTTTATTTGTTTCTGCTGTAAATCATTTCAGGAAATTTGTGATTTCTTTGAGTAGTCAAGAATATGCCCTATCCGTAATGTACATTTTTTTCCCCATAAGCTCCTCCACTCTTTTTTCTACTAATTTATCCTCAAATAAAAAGTGGCCTTGGGCTGTTAATACAGTGTCTGTGGCATGCCCATGGCCCTATTCTGTATCTGTATGGTTCTTCTCTAGACTTCATGAAGTTTTATGCCAAACTCCTCAGGCCTTAGCAGGATTTCAAGGATGGCATTGCTACTGGCTTGAGATTCCCTGATACTCTGAGTAAATGGAGAAAATTAAAAACCTACAATCCTTAGGTTGTCGTTATCTATGGGGGGGGGGTTGTCTGACCTTGTCTCTAGCCCTTTGGTGAATGGTGACTCCCAGAATACAATGAACTCAGGTTGTGTTGGATGTCACAGTTAATGACCAGATGGAGAACAAAGAGGTACCCTGGGAAATGGCTACCAATACCCTGGTTGTCTTGAAAACCTCTCCCCAAGCATTAGAAAGTGGCTGACTAGAAGAATCTGAATCAGGAAGTTGAAGTTGGGAAAAGGTGAAGCACACCTGCCCGTATTTTAGAATGGAAGCCTCTATTATTTTCAGAGGAAAGCACCAATTAGTCACTTGTTTTTGTCAATTTGTTGACTCCGGAGTTAGAGTCAGAAAAAATTGCTAATAGATTCTGGCAAGCATCCTCCACCCTCCTTTTTAAACTTGTATTATGCCCATCATTAAAAAAAAAACAAAAAAAACCTTTAGATGTGTTTTAGTGGGAAATGAGAGGCTATGTGAGAGGCTCCTAGCCAGATGGAATTTTTAACTGATTCTTTTGAAAATTTGTAACATAATGAAATCCTGTAGCTATTTATCTCCTGAGAAATGAGCATAACTAGTGATTTGACAATTTCCACATGAAAAGCTTAATTTTTAGAAGCAAATTATAGAAGAATCTGTGCATGGAAAACTTTATTCTGCTGTTTATATTGATGGGTTGCCTAAATTTTTTCCCAGGTGAGGCTATAAGGTTGGGGAAAACTCTTCATAAACAGTAGTGTGTGTGTGTGTGTGTGTGTGTGTGTGTGTGTGTGTAGTGGGGCAGGAGGGAGATGATGTTGGTGAAATTAGCAGATAAATGTCATGACTAACTGAAGATTAGCTGACTAAAAATGAACCTACTGTCAGCTGATTGCTGTCTGTAAACATGCCAGAGACCCCAGGACAGATGGAGAAGTTGGCATTTCTGGTTTGAGCTATGAAAATACAAGGCCAAAGATATTGGGCACACGATGTTCTCTAATAACAAGTGTATTTTGCAAGGTCACCGTGCTCAAGGACATCCTCAAGTAGTTACTGTTTTATCTCAGCGTTGTCTCTGGCTCTGGCTCTCACTTCAGTTTTTAAAAACAGATTTGTCTCGGAAATGACAGCCTTGGCGTAAGCTGTAGCCACTAGAGTGACTAAGGGCAAATGTCAGCGTGGCATTTCCTGGAGGTGAGTGAATATATATTTTTCAAGTTTTCAAGTTTAATCACCAGTGCTTTTCTCTTGATTGAAATGAATAAAATGTCAACTTATTAATAAAATCATACTGTTTAAAATGATTTAATCTAACATAAACCTTTATAAACCAAGTCATTTTTCAAGCTACATGGATCTTATCCAGTTTCTTGCAAGGGACTTGTGAATGAGACATTATTACCAGCCTCACTATACAGGTGAGGAAACTGAGGACCAGCAGGTCCCAGTCCCTTGAGCAGTGGAGCACAGGTGGTGGAGGTTACTTCATGACATCATCAGAGGGCTTTGGGCTTCTAGTCTGGGCCTCTTTCCACCATTACAACTAGATCTCTGCATCTAGACTATACTAGAACTTTTTTCTCTTCCTTTGTCTCGGGTTACATAGTAACAGCTTAGAAAATATCACTTTATTTAAAAACTTTATAAAAATCTACCTAACAATATTACAGCAAGTTTGTTGACTATCTAGGGAGAGAAACTATTTTAATGCCATTACCTCAAATTAGATTTTTATTATTTTTTAATTGCGGTAAAAAAAAACCACATTACATAAATTAGATTCTTAGGGTTTTTGTATATCTGAATCCAGTCTCTTGGTATATTCCATGGTGATAATAATATGTCTATACCTTTTTCATAGACAATCATTCTATTATCTACAATTGATTGAGCACTATTGGGTGCCAGGAACTTGGATAAGTTGTTTCATATTTTAGCCCATTCAATTTTTTCACCTCTTTAAGGTAGATGTCAGTAGTTTGCATATTGCAAATGAAAAACTGGCAGTTTAGAAAGGTTAACTAGCTTGCCAAATTTAAACAGCTAAATAGCAAAGTGAGTATGGGGGCCTTGCTTTCCTTCAGAATTGCCAATTTAATGACAATACACAATTCAATCAAGGAGTCCTTCTATAGTATACCCAACTCATTTGTTGGACCGTTAGTTTACTTCCAAGATTTTATTATAATAAATAACAGAACTGGAAAGTGTGCTGAGTATAGTTTTTCCCACTATTTGGGTTACTTCCCTAGAATAGATTTTCAGAATGTAGTTCTTAAAGTCAAACCTGACAGATAGTTCACTGTTCTTGATACCTATCCCCAAATTGCTTTGCAAAAGTGGTTCTTCAATTTGTAATGCAGTCAGTGTTGAATCTAAGTGATGCTCTGCTTCTGTCCTTTCTCCTAAAGCCTTTTGTGAGAGTTATGGTTATAAAGCAAAGCCTAAGTATCCATGAGGAGGTTTAAAAAAGCATTTTGCAGAGAGCTCCCTAATAGCACAGGACCAGGAAGGCAATCATGCTCCTGTTTATGTTTAAAGACAGATACGATGTGTACCTGTGGTGTATTTATGGACAGATATGATGCTCAAAAGCATGCAATAGGAGATAAAATTCTCCCATTTTATACCTCCTCAGTCGAGTTCATGCTGGGCTTTACATATTCGGGCAAAAATTTGAAAATCGGTTCAGAAGAGAGCCGCTGTTAGGGAATCAGAAAGTAAAACTCACGAGTCAAGTTTAAAGAAGTGAAACGATTTGGCCGGAACGATCCCTGCAGTCTTTGGGCGACAGGAGGAAGAGGACCAGCTCTTCTGGATGTAGGATGCAGTAGAAAGGGCCCAGGTTCTGAATAAAACCAAGCTAACTTTGAACCTTGATTCTTTTTACCCACAGTCTGTGTGATCTGGGGCAAACACGGATCTCCCTGGGTCTCAGTTTCCTAATCTGTAACATGGGGATAATATCCATTTCAAAGAATCGTCATAAGGACTAAATAAGATAATGTCATAAAGTACCCGCAGGAGGATGACACCAAATTCAGGATGGTGGCTTCTCCGTGGGAGGTGAGGAAGGAGAATGGGACTGAGTTGCGTACCAAAGAGAGCTTTCATTTTGAACGGGGATAGTTTGTGCCTTTTACGCAAACACAAAAAGATCCAAAGCAAGTATAACAAAATGTTGACATTTCTAGATCTGGAGACAGTGCTCGTTATATAATTTTCTGTGCTTTGTTTTTGTTTTTAATTAAAAGAGATAGTGGCTGGCACACAGGGAGCACTCAATGCAGACTGCATCCTTTTCCACAGCCCTCATGGGAAGCTGAAGGGCATAGTCCCCATTATGATGGATTTAGGTAGGACCCATGGGAACAACTCCTGGCGGCGAGCCTGAGCCAAGCGGAACCCGCCTCTGGGGGCTGCACACCCGCTGCCCTAAGGGGACGTCACGTGGGCACATGCATCCCCCTAGGTGTAAACGGGTCAGCACACGTGGCCTTCAGCTTTGCAGTCCGGAGAAACGTGGTTGTTCTGAAAGCCTTATGCTACAGCCGGATTCGATTTTCTGCACGGGATTTTCTATCAAGGAAGGGTGTTTACGTTTTAATTTACTGTAGCATGCAACTCCTGCCAATGTATGTGTCACTGTGCTTGCCATGTTGGAGCCCTTCCTTCCCCACAATGGTGTTTATTTAGTCTGTACAGTTTGTTTAGATTCTACTCGTGGAAATTCTGAATTTAGGGTTAGGAGAGTAATATCACAGAGCTCCTAAATGTGGCGAACTCCACATGAAAGCTGGCTTTCCCGAAGCTTATTGTAAAGGGGTCACCACCCTCGGAAGTGCGACCGAGGTCGAGATGATGTGTACACAGCTTTGCATTGCAGCAAATTCTCAACGCACAACACACGGTTCATCAGCTCTGAGGGTTTTCAGACACTGGAATAACACAGGGTTGTTCTGATGTTTAGTTCTACTTGGATCTTCTATCTTTCTATCTCTATCCACTCCCACTCTCCTCACCTGGACTCTCAGAAAGGAAAAGGGAGCGTTTTGGGAGATAGAAATGAATCGAGCCTACCCTGGTGTGCATTGTAACGGGCTGCTCCACCATTTCTACAGAAAAAGGCTCATTGTTCACAGGCGGGGCTTTGAGAGCAGTATTCTTCCACTGCTAGAGAAAGAGAAAGATGGTTCTATTTTTCCTTTTCTTTCTTTCTTTCTTTGCAGTATTCATGCAGGGGACACGTGTCTATCAGCTCACTCGGGGATATGCACAGAGGAATTTCAGGATATTTTAGATGTTATAAAACTGCAAGTTAACAGCAGACAGGGGTATTTACAGAAATTAGGCAGTCTTTCCACTCATTTATCAGTGTGCTTACAATTCCCATTTCAGGGCAGGTGAAATAATAATGGATAGTTGGGACTTGCAACCTATTCGAGGCATGACGGAAAAAGGCTATCAGCATCCAAATTATTTGAATAAATGGAAGAACCAGGATTGCCATCGCCGTTTTAACGCAATGCTGAGTGGCCGCCCAGGGAGAAGGCAAAGAGAGCTAAGGCTCATCGCCATTAAACAAAACCTTCCACGCGAATCCGTATGCCACCCGCGCGGCTCCAGGGCTATTTGGAACCAGAAGTCAAAAAACAATCCCCAACCTTAAATGAGACGGAAACGTTTGGTTTCCTTCTGGAGAAAAGCCTGTCATTAAAATGCCGATTTCTTCCCTGCATATGACTCCCTGGGTATTTTAAAATAATAAAATGGCAATATCCTTTTAAGCCAAAAAGCAATCTCCTCAAAGTAATTATAGTGCATCAAGGATAACGTGGAAATATGTTCTAGGATATCAAGGCAAAGAGCAAAGCAAGGGAGAAAATAGATATTTCATCACTTAGTACTGATTCGAATGGCAGCACTTTTGTAGCATGTGGTTACGGCCACATTGCTCAGCTGGGAGGAAGAACATCTGAAAACCTGAATCCCATTAATTTTACAATAGTGTTTCAATAGAGTTTTCACTGAGACTTCACATGGTGTTTAGTGTCCTTTTGTGGGAACATCAATAACATTATTTGTGGAATACTTTGCAAAATGATCTGGATAAATGATATACAGCCAGAATAAAACAAAAAAAAAAGGCTAGTTTGGAACTGGATCCCCACCAACCAATCCAGCTCCACTGAGCCATTGTTTTTATGTACTAATTTAAATTATGACACAATTTAACCAACATATTCATTGAGAGAGTCATTTACCTTCTATCCTTCCATGTGGTTGTCTTGTCAAGATTTTCACTTTTAAGGAGAGCAGCATTGATTTAAGACAGCCAAGCAGAGGAAAGAATGATCACAAAAACACAATTCAAGGGCAAATGCCACCTTGACTCTCTTCTGCCCTCTGCTGGGTATTGTATGTATCCTCTTAGTCCATAGAAAAGTCAATTTCCCTACCTCAATTCTTCCTAGAGGACAGTGTGGAGGGGGGTCTGGGTGTGACAAATACTTCCATCCTGATGAATCTTGTAGGTAAGTACGGTGAGAGTCAGTCAGGTGGTTTTGTTTTCTTTTTCTACTTTTAAGAATTGGGATAAAATATACAATACATAAAAATTGAGCTATTTTTAAATATACAGTTCAGTGGCATTAGCACACTCACGTTGTTGGGAAATCATCACTACCATATACATCCCTAGAAATTTTTTCATCTTGCAAAACTGAAACTTTATCCATGAAACACTAATACCCCCTTACCCCAGCCATTCTGCTTTCTGTGTCTATGAATTTGACTGCATTAAGTACTTCAAGCAAGAGGAGTCATACGGTATTTTGTCCTTTTTTGATCGGGTGTTTATTTCTAAAACTCATAATGTGATAGCTTGGTAACAATGAAAGGAAATGAACTTAAGGAGTATATAGGATTTTTGAGACAGGCATGTGAAGGAAGTGAGAGGGAGTTAGCACAACTAAAGTGGCAAAATAGAGAGAGAAGCAGGGGAGTAGATCTTGGCAATGTGCTTCCCTGTTAGAACTCTGTGACTCAACATGAGCACAAAGTAAGTAAGTTACGCCAGGACATACAACTACCCTGTGGTGGAGCTTGGTTTGAATCCATCCTTTCTGGCTCCAAAATTTTATTGCATTGATGTCCTTATATCACTAACCATTTCCCCCAGTGCAGTCACTCAT